CCCCCAAGTTATTTTTTGGTAATAAATCCCAACTATCCTTATCATGCTCCTCTTCCTTTCTACAAATTGGTCCAGAAACAAAAAAATATAGCAGGTCCTTTTAAACTGTTTCAGCCTGAGATATCATACATACTATTCTTTTCAATTTGGGAATTTTTACCCTTTAAAAGTTGTTATACTTACAAAGTTCCATAAAAATGCAGAAAAATATGCACACAAAAAAAAACAATGGCACTTTATCTACTTATTTTACAGCTGATATAATAAGTTTCCCTGAAATCTTATGTTTAGTTTTTACCAATATCTCTCCAGTCCATGTGTCCAATTGATCTACTTTCAGACTGATTCATCCAAAGAGTATTGCTCCAGAAATTTTGTCTGGAACATTAGTCTACTTGCCCCCAAGAAAACTTCCTTCTGACCTTCATAACATCACTCAATAATTAAACTTTGACTCTTTTCTTCTGTAGGTCAGATGATAACAAATTTAAGACTATGGAGATTTAATTTTTTGCATATAGTATTCTGCTATAATGCTGAACTTGCTCAGACAGTCGAACTTGAGGATGTTGACAGATGTCTTTAACATCCTCCACTTCCCTACAGTGGAAAAGTCCATTTTAATTTTTCTAAAACTCTTCTAAACCCTTCTTAGATGCCATATCTTCCTAATTTGAGCATCTTTAGAAAAAAGAAAATGAGATTAACCTAGTTTGTCCATCGCCAGATTTTTTAAAAAATGTTATTTGTATAAGCTGAACTTTATTCACTTTCGCTTTTATTATCATTGATGAATTAGCTAAATACATCTTAAATAAAGAAAAACAGTCTTATGTTGTGTACCTACCTTTCAAGATAACTAATCATATTTCCAACACTCTTTAAACTTTAAAATGTTTTTTTTTTTTTTACTTAATGTTTTTGTCTATGTAATCAAACTGCCTTGTTCTCAACTCCCTGGGCCACATATTACAGTGAGAATCACTAAAATAATTTCTAAAGCATCTAAAAAGCTGCTTCATCACATCTCAGGCTGTGTTGTTGTGGTACAGGGTGAGTTCAAAGCAGGTGATGTTGCAGCACGCCCAGAGCACGGCAGCCCAAGCTCTGCTTGACGCAGCGTAAGGCTCTAAGCCAACGGTGCATGTAAGCTTTAAGTCATAAGAGGCCATTCTGCTGCAGTAGATGCACCATAATCTTCCTTTTTATTCACAGGGAAAAGGTCAGGAGCTACAGAGCACATTTTATCTTTAAACAGTGTGACAGAACATGCCAGAGGGTCCAGACATACCGTAAGGTCAAAGCAGCAGGAACATAATGGTTAAAAACTTGTAAAAACAAACAGAAAAAAAATCCTGAAATATGTAATGCTCCTATTAGTGGAAACACAGAAGGGTAATGTGCCTCTACTTGGGTAATGGGCTTTGACGCATCATCAATAAACTGGAGTGGCTAAGTACTATTAGCACCCCTGTATCATCATGCTGTTTTCACGTTCTACATATAAGAACCAGGTTTCTGAAAAGGAGGACCCTTTTTTTTCGGGGGGTCGACTGTTGGGCCCACTGACTGGACCGAACCTCAGCAGAGAGCAATGAGCTACCTGTCCACAGCCGGAGGAGGGGGGCTGGTATTAGATGGGGGAAGCACAGCATGTGTCTACCATCACCAGGTTGGGTTTGGCCGTTCCGTCCCCCGCCGTCTCCCTGCCCCCAGCCGTGGAGCTGACGGCTCGGTTCGAGTGCCCGGTGTGTTTCGACTATGTGCTACACTGTTCTCCAAGGGTGTAACTTTGTGATGAAAATTTGTGGGGACACTCGGGTGGGGGCTAATGGACCTACACTTACTCAACCCAAAAGCTGTCATTAGATTTTTGTATTTTCCAAAAAATGAGCTCAAACATATATTTATTGAATGCTTTTCTACTGTCGAGAGCACAGAGGAACCAAAATTCACTTATATTTATATTTATAGATGTTAGAGAAATGCCTTTTAATGCATTACCTATATAGGGACCAAAAACATTAATGTATAAAAAAAAAAAATTAATAACAGCTGATTCCGATGCCAAAATTGATATATCATGCATCCCTGAAAGTACATTTTCAATTTTATCCATCCATCCAGAAAAATATGGATATGCTGCATTTTAAATATAGCTTAGCATATTTTTTTCTTGTAAACTTACCAGTAAACTTGGAGATATATTTTATTGCGTGTTGCACATCCCAGTAAATCTGTTTCCCCTTTAAATCTGCAGCTCTCCCTACTTCTATCTGTGCTCTGCTTAAAAAGATTTATCAACCTCTTTACTAATATAATGATGCCAAAAACAAAATTTCAAGATATGTAGAGGCTCTGCAGTCTGATTCTATCTGTACAATAAGAAAACATGTTAATTTTAACCTGTAACTGGGAGTCATGGTCCTCTAAAAAGCCAAGCTTTTTAACTAGTAAAGAAGAACAAACTATGTTTTCTTAAGCTTCTTGCATTATAATACTAACTTTTATAAACTTACAATTTGTTGCCATTTTAGCTTGTTAGCAGAAAAAACTCTGTATTTCAAACAAACATATTTTCAGTGGTATGATCTCAAATTTTTTTAACCAACTGGTATCCGATCTTTTACTTAAACATCGAAGTAGCTGCTGGTTAATATTCACTGAGTGCTGCTGAGTGTCTCTCCTCCATGTAGCTACTTTGTACACAGTGAAATGTGACTGCAAATCTGATGTCTCAAAGCGAGAGAGGAAAAAAATATGGATTCAAAATGCTCTGAACACAGATAGCTGCACCCAACCTCTGTTACCTTTGACTTAAGTAAATAAGCGGAAAGGGGGGGAAAAAAAGCCGAAATTATTGTTGGGGACATGTCCACACCAGTCCTTCAGAAAATTGCGCCTGTGCTGTAGTGGACCAAAATCCCGGACGATTTTCAAAAATCCCCCTGGAGCATTGTTTTAGGTATGAAAAGTAGAAAATGTCTGAGAAAAAGAGGACGTCTGGCCATGTTATCTACACATGATGTCTAAATCTCTCCAAGAGGCTTTCCTTCAATCCCAGTAAAGATGAAGTTGGACTGATCGACCCAACTGCTTCTGATCTGGCCTCTCAGTCTGATAAGTAATTTGCACATGTTGGGGGATTCCGTTGTTTTTGCCCTCATCAAGTTTTCCATTTTTGACATGCCTGTCTACCTCCTGCAGAGTGTTCTTCAATAGCCAGACGTCTTTTTTCCGCTGTTTTACGTGCTTTTCTTTTGAACAACGAGGGCCTTTTGATGTCAACAATCTTACCAGGGCGTGTTCCTCTTTTACTCATAATGTGTCAAAAGGCAACATGTTGCTTTTTCTTCACTGATGGATCGACTATGATCAGCGTTCTCTGCTCAGACTGGGCAGATTTCTGATGCAGTGAGAGCAACTTTGATCAGATTTCGTCAATAGAGAAACTCAACAGTCTGGTGAAATAAAACAAACATCTGATCATCAACTAGAAACAAAACCTAAAACTTTTCATACTTAATGACTAGCTGCAAAGAGAAGCACTGTACAAGCACAAACACTGTTGCATAGTTTCCTTGTCCCTGCTAGGTAAATCTCTCCTTCCAGCATCATCCTGCCACCACTTTGTTTCACAGTGGGGATCATGTGTTAAGGAATATCAACAGCTCTCTCCCTGACCTGCCTGCGGTGCTCCGTGGTCTTTATGAGACTATATGTTCCCCCGATGTTCTCTGACAAACCTTTGAGGCCAAACAGAACAGCTGATCTTTATGGAGGGCAATCATAGTTAAGGGATGCTAAACACTATGTTGTAGCAATATAAATGTGAACATCTAACTGGAATAAATATTGTATTGCACAGTTGGGGGTGCAAAATTGCAAGAGTTTGACTTTTCGAGGAGGGCGGTTTTTCACTTTGTTGCGCCCTTCAGATACCTGAATAAAAATCTGCTCTTAAGCACTTCAAAAGTGCAGTTTTTCAAAGCAGATGGCCAATTTTAATGTTGAATACCTGGACAGGCCAACATTTGGAGGTGGATCTTAACAGGTTGCATTATTATTAAAAACAAAAGTGTTCAGAGCTTCTTCGTCTATTGCTCTCTCCACTGTCAGAAACTGCAGCATTAATGTTCTCTGCTGCATTATGCTGCTTTCACTGACCTCCTCTTCAAATAGGTGGAGGAAAAAAAGCACTAGTAATGCAGCAAGACCCATAAGGTAAAGTAAAACTAAGTATTTTTCCACATTTCTAACTCTTTTAGAAAAAAAAATATAGGATTAAAATAAGATAATTATATCAAATAAGCAGATATGCTAACTGTCAAATCTAATGCATGTGGTAAATACCATGCATGCTAATGTAAATGTGAAATTCTTTACTTTAAAAAATCAATATGACATTTGTTTTGAAGAAACATGTCATGCTTTTCTTTTAATGCAAATAAACAGCTTGTTTCTGCAACTTTCCTGCTGTTTATAGACTATGTGGACAATTTATTTATGAACTGACATTATATGAAGTTATTAAATTCCACTCGTCACTAGCACTAAACCTCAGCTCTTACTAGCACTGGGCACTAAGGTTTAGACATGGAAGTAAGCATCTTGAGCATCATTACACCATTAATAATAATAATAATTTAATGGCTTGTTGCCTTTGCCACAAGTCTTAACTGCTGATTCTAAGCTAATACTCTCAGTTTTCTCTAACACAGTACAATTAATTTAACTTTTAATTAACTTTTCTTGTCCAAAAAAAGTCAATCTGATTTAATTTCTCTGATCCATGGCTTTGTAGTGTAACTGTCTTAAATATAAAAACATTGTATTTCAATATGGACTTGTGCTGTTTTATTGGAAGTATATATAATGGCTTTTTATTAATTACTCTTGAAAATCAAAAAATCTAATTCACCATTTATAAATAAAATTGAAATGAAAAAAAGCTAAGTGACAAATTCAAGCGTGTGAACAGAAAAAGCCAGAGTACTTACACTGAACCTCCAGATATTTGCGTGCTCTGAAGTCCTTGACGGCAGGGTGGTCCACGATGCAGGTTACAGGGATCCCGTCATCCTCCTTGGTGACGGTGAATGTCACCCGACTGGTAACTGTGTACATTCTGTCGTAGGTCAGCTCCACTTTGGGCTTACCTGCCGAAAATAAAGCAAAACAAAGACACTATGTTAAAGCTGGAGACCCATCTGTTCCAATATATCAACAAGAGTAAATGTAAGACTCGGGGATTTCAGGCTTACAGCGTAAAAGTTAATGCACACTTGGATAATAATGTCAGCTTATCACATTTAGCCTTCTAAATTTAACTTTTCTACATTGGCTGAGTTCCTTTGGAGAAGATTATAGTGAAAAATAAGGGAAAAACATAACAAATGTGAGCGAGATGTCTTTAATTAATCTTTAACTTAATTTGCATTAAGCATGGTGGTACTAGAGACAGAAATCTGGTGAATGCATCATCGGGAGTTTGATATTTAATTTATTACTATTTCTATTATTAAATTGTAATTTATTTGGTGTTTGAGATTCATAAAATGATATAGTTTTTTAATTAAGGTCCTACTGTTTAATGGGATATTCAGATTTAATATAATATTTGATTGTATAGTTTTGGATAGGTGTAGTTTTTTCTAAAGTCCCAGGACCTTAGTCTCTAATTGGACATATGGATGAAGCTCATCACGCTGCTAGAGGACAGATGGCTTCTGCAGAGAGAGCCGTCTGCTGCTTAGTGATGAAAAAAACATAAAAGAAAAAATATGTAACTTTCTTTTTTTTAAATGATTTTGGTAATCGTTTAGAGCAGTGAGAGGTGTTACAACAGGGCCACAGCCAACTTAGAAACATTTGTATATATTTTATTTTTTTAACTCTTAAAATTTAAATTGAAATCGAATCTGGGAAAGTTTAAGGCCTGTTTTTTTTTAAATAAAAACAGATAAAATAAAGTAAATACACACTCCTGCTACAGTCATTAGCTCACCTTTCTAATTATGCTAATGTTTACAAATAGTTTGCTAAATGTACTAATAGCCATATTTAAAAAAAATAATAAAATAATCTTAAAATTGTCCCATTCAATTTGTAAAAACACTGGTGCAACAAAAAATAAAACCTTATTTTAAAACCCTATTTAGCCAGGTTTAATGGATGAGTATGCCGGACCAAATGGGTACATGATGACCAAGGGACACAAAACCAGCGTACGGTCATTACACATGATTGGATTGTTACGATTCTGGCGTGCCTGTATGCATTTTCTTAATCTCCTCCTGCTTTTCTGCTATCAGCTTTATCAGATGCACATCTGAGCTACTCTCCAAAGCACCTCAGTAAAGCTTATTTCCTGCATATGCCCAGCTGCTTTTATACACTTGATTTCTGCTGATTGGCAATGCCAGATTATTGAAAGCCTTGCATGTGTAAATGTTCATATTTTTTTCCCTGCCTTCTTCTCTTCCTGCTCTCAACCAAATTTCTACCTGCTTGATTTCCCTGTCTTTTCCTTGTTGAACAACTTATCAGCCTCCAGTGTATCCACCACACCCATTAAAACCTTGCCTATCCCACAGATTATCTAGCCTGAATTGGCCTGCCTGTGTTTGACTCTCACAGGTCCACATGGATTTCCCTCTGATCTCAGTGACTCAGCCCTTTGCTGAGATTAAAACTTCTAAATCTCGTCTTATGAATCCAGCTGTGGCATCATCATCGTCTTGGTTATTTTTTAAGCAGAAGAAGCCAATAACCCTCTGAGAGGGCTTCCTGAGTTTTCTGTTCATCGGATTCTCGGCAACCCCAAACCTCTCTGTTTTAGACAAACTTTATTGTCATTTTGTACACACAGAGTATATAAAACAAAATTTCAATTTTACAGCACCCATGACATTTAAATTTTGTTAAAGTGACTCAAATGTGAACATTGCGAGAAAAAAACATGGTGCAAAAAAGCGCATTGATATGGTCTATGACACAATTTAATCAAAAATGTTTTCAACATTCAACTTTTTTTTTTGTTTTTTGTCGTTTTTTTTTTTTCAGCATTCAGCTATCTGATCGCCGTGGGGAAGAAGCTGTTTTGGAATCTGCTGGACCCGCATTGAATGCTGGGAAGAGGCGCTGCAGCCTCCACACCACCCAGTGAGACAGCTGGTCAGAAAGCTCTCTCTGGTGCTTCTGTAAAAGGTGGTGAGGATGGGTGGGGGCAGGTGGGCTCTCCTCTTCCTCCTCAGAATGCACATGCGCTTTTGTGCCCTTCTGATCAGTGAGGTGGTGTTTACAGTCCGTAAAGTTGCCTTTGATGTGTACCCCCAAGAATTTGGTGCTGCTGGCCACCTCTACAGCTGAGCTGTTGATTAGCATTGGTTAGGCTGATTTCTCCTGAAATTAATGATTATCTCCTTCGGTTTCTCCACATTCTGGATCAGGTGGGTCTCAGCACCAGTCCACTAGCTGCTCCACCTCCTCTCTGTAGTCCTCGTCGTTGTCATTTCTGACTATTAGGTTGTCCCTAATAGTGCCCAAAGTTGTTTTCTGTTTCCAGCCAGAGTTAATTTCAATAAATTTTAACTTTTAACTCACATTTTTTCTGGCTGAAACCTCAGGTCTTCAATCTAAACCATTGCTTAGATGAGGATACTATCGTGGGAATTTGCACTGACTTAATCTGGACAATTAGGAGAATTTGTTCTCCCGTATAATTTTTTTTTCATTTTGATTTTAAAAAAAAATGGAATTCCTGGTAATATTTCTGTTTAACGTATAGTGCCATTTGTGGGGTCCTGTCACTGCTCCAAATGAAGAGGTAGATTGGGGTCAGTTCCAGCAGGGGACGGTACAACAAGTCCAGTCAGAAACATGATAAATTGATTAATCACAGCAACCAATGTTGACACTGTTCCCAAGCTGGAAAGTTGCATGAACATCCAGGGATGTGTGGCTTTGGTGCTGGATACACCAGTTTTGGGCACATAGAGATTTTACAGCTGGCAGACATTTATATGAATGCCACAACTGTGGATCTGGCTGACGGTAGAGGGAGGGGAGTGTTGGATTATGATCAGTTGGATTTCCATAAAAAAAAAATAAGATATATAATAACATTTCTTTTCAATATTCAAGATATCTGTGCTCTTCAAATAAGTTTTTTTCTACTGTTTCAAATATGGGAATTGGGATATTATGAATATCTTAATAAATTGTGTTTGCAATGTTGATTCGAGATGTTTAATTGAAATGGTATTTGGAAAAGTAAAAAAAATATATATATATATTTATTCAATTTTGGAAGTCAGTGAATGTGCACTTATTATGGAGCAATCCAACATCATCAACCAGATCAGTCACAGCGTTTGGAAACAAAAGTCAAATATATTCTTGTGTGGTAAATAATTTACTAATAGTTGCAGTAGAGTTGTGTAAAACCAATACACACAAGATAAAAGCTCATATGTTACTGAATATATTCCTAAAGAGGCCATTTTAAAGTAACTCGATTCCTTTTTCCTTCATACAAAGACGAAGGAAGCAGATGTTGTAGCTGCAAATCATAGAGAACTCCTGAGAAATATGGTTCAGTTTAGACTTTGCTTAAAATAATAGTAAATAATAAATAAAAAAAAATGACTGGAGAGTAAATGAGACAAAAAAAAAGTGCAGAAGCAGGGTTGTTGAGCTAATGCAATTGCAGATTCTTTGAAATGTTAACCAGGGCCTTAAAGATTAGAAAGAATTTAACACTAGCTAAAGAACAAACTGACTGTCTTGCAAGATGCAGCAACATTTTATGAAAGTAAGGCTGATTTTTTGGGGATTGTGTCTGGCCAATGACTTGTGGCCTATGCAGGGGAATCAACCCAAATGGTGAGTTTTAGCAAAATAATTACCTTAAAAACACCAGAAAGAAGCATCTTGGTTCCAGATCAAAAACATTAATGTTTTGAAACAGCCAGCCTAATTAAAGGACAACATGTGTGGTGTTATAAACTAGAGTTTCTGAAAACCAAGTACTGCAGAAAAACTGTCAGATATAGTCCAATCACCCTGTGCTGGAATACCTGTTGACTGAGGACATTATATTCACTGAAAGCTCATTCTCAAGCACCCATCCTGAGCTTATATAGTAATAGTGCCTGATATACTATAGAGTAGCAGCGAAACCATAGAGGTTTGTTGTCCTTCATGCAGAGGGACAAAGAATAACCTCAGTGCCAAAGCAGCTATGGAGAAGGAAGTAGAAAATGAGCACAGAAAAACTGATAGACACTGCAAGTTGACTTTTTTGATTTTCCTGCTCCAGCAACTCTTTCAGCTTTTTCATGGTGTTTGTTGTATTGATGAGACACAGACTCTTCTTCACTTCTGCACAGATACTGAAAGGAAGTAGGCCAAAGAAAAGGGATAAAAAAAAATTATCCTGCTTTGTGACCTAAATGCTCAACCCCTGCTCTTCTAAAGCAAATTGTCTGTTTAATGTTAACACCACAATGGTCTGCACTACTTTGTCTGTTGTCCAGTGTTCGAGATAGATGCAACTAAATATTCAGCTGAAAAGAAAAACCTACAAACTGAAGGATGTGTAACAAACATTTTAAAACATTTAGGGGCCTTTTAAGTAAGCTACAAAGTTATTTAAAGGCACACCCCAGACTTTATAACCTGAATAGTTGACGCATATGAGTTATTTTAAATGATTCCTCAGGCCAATATACAGCACTTGACACCATCAATGCTACAAGCCAGGCTCCCCTCTTGAAATAATCTCTATGTAAGTTAAGAGAACTCGCACCGGCGTTTACCAGGTTTTGTGAAGAACTTATCGGTTTATGGCCACAGGCTCTTATATCGTCATGGAGCTAAGGCTTTGGCTCTACTATTTTTCCATCTGCTCGAGTACTGGTCATGGCTGAGGCAAGGAAAACCTCTAAACCTTCTGAGGAGGCTAAAAAGAGAAAGCGTGAAAGGGATCCTGCTTGTGGAAAAGCAAAAGTCGATCTTGGAAAGGAGTTTGTTCATTGTCACAGAAGAAGAGGGGTGTAAAGGGCGAGTGTTTGCCTAGTGGTTAGAGCAGTGCGCCTGTGCTCTGAGAAGACCCAGTGGCTGTTCACTAGAGCTCCGCCACTGGTCCTCTGCGCCG